GGTTCTGCAGGGGTTTGGGGGGTCTCAGCAGGGTGCTTTGCCCCAGGACCCCCTGCTCTGGGCTCTCTGGGGATGGAGGGGGGTGACGGGGGCTCTCAAGCCCCCCCCTATTTCCATACCCCTTCAGGAAAGGTGTTGATGTCACAATAATATTTTGGTAGTGTTTTTCCTCAGTCTGGGACTCTTCAGTTCTCTGCATTCTGGGATAATTGTGAAGAAAGATAACTCTTATTTAACTCCAAAGGGTTAATAACTTGAAAGGCTTCTGCAAATCCAGCTACTCCTGCTCAGTAAAGCTCGGCAAACAGCACAAACCACACCATATTATAACCCTAAATCACATATTCTAGTTCAAACTTGAGGAATATTTCACCTCGAAAAAGGCTGAGGAAGAGCCTGTGCCCCCTGCGAGGTAACCCACCCCCCCCGGGCGCTCCCCTCAACGGGACCCCCCCAAATAAGCCATGGCGGAGCGTCGCCCCGGCCCAATCGCCCTGGTGCTGGGGTGCCTTAGCGTGGCGGTGTCCGTCTGTCTGTCCCCAGAGGACGAGGGGTGCCAGCTCTGCCCCGTGAACTGGACGCCGCGTGGGACCAAGTGCCATTGGGTGTCGGAGGGGATCAGCCCTTGGAGCGCCAGCCGGGAGGACTGTGTGAACCGGGGTGCCGCGCTGCTGATGCCGAGGGACCAGGATGAGCTGGTAAAGGCACCGACGGCACCGGGGATGCGGGACGGGTCCCGGGACGGCCCCCGCGGGGCCGGTGGCACCTGGGGAAGGGCTCAGGGCTTGCCCAGAAATGTGGGGTCAGCACCCAGCCCTGGGGGACACCGGTGGGGCTCTGTGCTGGGACAGGTTTGGGGATGGCACGGGGGCATCACCGCCTGCCCTCTCCCCGGTACAGGATTTCCTAAATCAAATCCTCCGGAGACCCACGCGCTACTTCTGGCTGGGCCTCTCCCTCCGCTCCGCCGGGGAGGGCTGGACCTGGCTGAACGGCTCCCGCCTGGACCAGAGCCGGTGAGCGCTTCGGGGAGGGACGGGGGTCGGGGTGGGCACCTCCACCCTCACCCCGGGGCCCTTCGTGCCGTGACGGGGGCTCCCTCCTGCCCCCGCAGGTTCCCGCTGAGCCCCCGGGATGGAGGCGCATCCTGCGGGACGCTCAGGGAGGGCAGGATCAGCTCCGAGAGCTGCGGCGCGGCGCTGCAGTGGATCTGCCAGAAAGAAGCCACCCAGCTCTGAGCCGGGAGAGGGAGGCTGGGGGACGGGGCAGGGTCAGGCCCTCGGCGGGGGGACGCGGGAGCCGACGTCGCGCCACGACCCTCCGTGCAAATGAATAACGGCCTCAGCCGGGCTCTGCGTGGTGTTTCCCAGCGCGTTCGCTGACGGGGAGGGCTGGAAGGAGCGTCCTCCTGCCCCGGGCAGACCCGCTTGTGTGCGCTCGCCCCTGGCCCTGCCTCCCCCTTCCCCAGCCCCGTCCCAGCCCCGGCCAAGGCCATTCCTGCCCGTGCCAGCGGCCCCTCCATCTTCCTCCCGCGCCCTCCCCATCCTCAGGCGGTGCTCTCGCCCCAGGCACAGCGCAACTCGCCCAGGAGGCGGCTCAGGCCGGGAAGGGGCGGCGGAGGAGACGGGTGCTGGTGGCACGCAGCTCGAAGCAGCGTTGCGAAGGCAGCGGGGAAGCGCAGTGCGTTGAAAAGGGGAGAAAAAGAGGTTGGGGGATAATTAAAAAGCAGCGCAAAAAATGGGAATACTTTTCCTTGCAGCCGGGACAGGGCTGCCTTTAGCCTGTTAGCGTGGGAAAGGTGTTGGTGTCACACTGATGTGTTGGTAGTGTTTTCCCGGAGTCTGGGACTCTTCAGGTCTCCGTCTTCTAGGAGAATTAGGAAGAAGAAGAATTCTTATCGTGGTGCAAAAAAAGCTCAAGTAATTTTCCTTGCAGCTGGGACAGGGCTGAGTTTCGCCTTTCAGTGTGGGAAAGGCGTTGACATCACACTGGTGTGTTTGTAGTGGTTTTGCCAAGTCTGGGACTCTTCAGTGCCCCATCTTCTAGAAAAAAAAGACTAAGAAAAATACCTGTTATCACAGCCTAAAGGCTTCAGCAAATCCCGCTACTCGTGCTCAGCAACCTGTTGCAACCAGGAGGAGGGGGACAGGGGGACGGCTGCACGTCTGCGCCACCGCTGCCACCCCAGGGGTGATGGGGAAGAGGTAAGAGCCTCTCCCTATAGCGCAAACCTCCAAAAATAGCTCAGAGCGAGCTGCCAAGCTCGGTGGCACTGCCCCATGGTATTGCGCCGCCTCCCATCTCCGTTGTGTGAAAACAGCCACCCCAACTGGGATGCCGGCGGCTGGGTGGACTGGGAGCTCTGGGAAGGAGGTGCTTGCAGCATCCCTGATGCCCCCCCCTTCCACGTAGCCACGCCATCGCTGCCCTCACAGGTCCTGCTTGACAAACCTCACCTCCATCTTTGCCGAGGTGACCCGCTCAGTGGACGAGGGAAGAGCTGTGGATGTTGATTACCCGGACCTCAGTAAAGCCTTCGACACCGTCTCCCACAGCATTCTCCTGGAGAAAGTCACGGCTTGGAGGGGCAGGCGCGTCGCTGGGTCAAACACTGGCTGGACGGCCGTGGCCAAGGAGTGGTGGTGAAGGGAGTGAAACCCAGTGGGTGACCGGTCACAAGGGGTCTTCCCCGGGGCTCGGTACTGGGGCCGGGTCTCTTTAGTATCTTTATCAATGACCTGGACGAGGGGACCCAGTGCACCCTCAGTAACTGTGCAGACAACAGGAGGTTGGGCGGTGCTGTTCAACAGCTTTCTCTCTGAATTGGAGAGACCTGGATTTGACCCATGGACCAACGGATAAGGAATTGACCCGATGGTCGCACTCCAAGGGATGTGGTCAATGGCTCCGTGTCCAAGTGGAGACCAGTGACGAGTGGCATTGCTCAGGGGTCGGTACTGGGACCCGTGCTGTTCAACATCTTTGTTGGTGACGTGGGCAGTGGGATGGAGTGCACCACCCGTGAGTTTGCCGATGACACCAAGCTGTGTGGCGAGGTAGACACGCTGGAGGGGAGCGATGCCATCCAGAGGGACCTGGACACCTGGAGAGGTGGGCACGTGCCAACCTCATGCAGTCCAACAAGGCCAAGTGCAAGGTCCTGCACATGGGACGGGGCAATCCCACGCACAAATCCAGGCTGGGCAGGGAACGGCTGGAGAGCAGCCCTGAGGAGAAGGACCTGCAGGTATTGATTGAGGAGGAGAAGCTCAACATGAGCTGACAACGCATGGCTACAGCTCAGAAAGCCAACCGCTTCCTGGGCTGCATCCCCAGCAGCGTGACCAGCAGGTCAAGGGAGGGGATTCTGCCCCTCTACTCTGCTCTGGGGAGACCCCACCTGCAGGACTGCGTCCACCTCCGGAGGACCCAACACAGGAAAGAAACCGACCTGTTGGAGGGGGTCCAGAGGAGGGCCACAGAGATGATCGGAGGGCTGGAGCCCCTCTGCTGTGAGGACAGGCTGAGAGAGTTGGGGGTGTTCAGCCTGGAGAAGAGAAGGCTCCGGGGAGACCTTAGAGCCCCTTTCCAGTACCTGAAGGGAGCCTACAGGAGAGCTGGGGAAGGACTTTTGACATGGGCAGGTACTCACAGGAGGAGGGGGAATGGCTTTCAAGGGGAAAAGGGGAGATTCAGATAGATAGTAGGAGGAAATATTTCATTCTGAGGGTGGTGAGACACCGGGACAGGTTGCCCCGAGAAGCTGTGGCTGTCCCATCCCTGGAGGTGTTCAAGGCCAGGCTGGATGGGATTGGAGCAACCTGGGCTGGGGGGAGGTGTCCCTGCCCATCTCAATGCAGTAGTATCAAGTGTAATACGTGCAATTAAGTATTATTAATACCGCCACCCGGTGGGGATGGCTGCAAAGTGCAGACGGCGAGAGAAGTACGAGCGGGACACAGCCGGGGAGAGAAGTGGGAAGAGGCAGGCGGCGGCAGGGGGTGAAATGTCCTCCCTCCGAGCGAGAAGCCGGGCAAGAAACTGGTGCAGAGCAGAGGAGAGAGGAGGAAGGACGAGGCTGGAGCTGTGGGAGGTGGTGGGGACGGGGGCAGGAGAGCAGGGCAGGCGGGCACTTGGCTTTCCGAATTTCTGGGGTGAAGTAAAGCACCGTTAAAACCATGATGGCAAAGCGAGGAGAAAGAGCAGACGGCAGAACCAGGAGCGTCAGTGTAGGAGCTGCCGATTCCAACTCAAGTTTGTCCCTCTGCGATGGAGAAGAGGGGGAGCTGAGGGATGGCAGACGCCGACAGACATCAAGCGCTGATGGAGATCCATCACCGATGACCAAAGTGCTGAACTTAAATCCTCCTCACAATCTGCTCCTCAGAAAACTGAAGGTCACAGTCCGTGCGCTGTTCTGTGACATATCGGCCATACTGCCATTTTGGGTGGGAACTCAGGAAGTTTTAATTTTTACTGTCGGCAGCACAGAAGCAGAAAGGCTGTGAGGAGTTTCTTTAATAAATAGAGTAGAAAAACAGCACCAACATCTGCCACTGCCTCTAACACTCACGGAAGCCCCACGAGGACTACTTCTTCCCCGGTCCTTTGTCCCTCTGCCCTTCACATGGACAGGGTCCCGCACAGAGCTTTCTGCGCCCACCTCATCTGGCAGCAGCTGCTGCAGCTCCGAGGCCACAGCTTAAAAGGAGGTCCGTGTGGTTTGCGAGAGAAGCAGGAGGAGTCCTGGGGTGGTCCCAGAAGGAGAAAGGAACCGGTTGCAGCCTTGAGGTCTCAGCCCAGGCGGGCACACGGCAGCTCCCACCGTGTCTCCCCACCTGCAGGTTCATCTCAGCAGAGCTGGCAGCGAGTTTCTGCTGAGACCAGGAGCAACCCGGACCCGCAGCTGAGGGAAGGACATCCCCACAGGGTTCTGCGCTGCTGGAAGAGGTGACACTGTGAGTCCCAGCGTGGAGAAGGACCTTTCTCCAGCACTTCTCTCACCCGGGTCCCATCAGCGCTTGGGGCTTGCTGCAGATGTACGGCCGTGGCTGTGCGCAACTTGCACTCATGAGATCACGGTCATTCAGGAACAGACAAGATTCCTGGCCCTTCACCGGGATCCTGCAACAAAGACCACACACACCGCTGGGAAAGTGAGGATATCAGTTGTCCCCTCAGACTATCAGGAGGAGACGAGAGCTACATCCAAGGGACAGCCCCAGCAGACACATCCCACCAGGGCCCTGCCTGTCCAACGCAGAACCATCTCCCCACATCCCCGGCTCCCCACAGGACTCACGTCTGGTTGAAGCTGCTGCCATCCACCCACTCCAGGCGCTCGCCCCGTCTCTGCAGCCCAATCCAGTAATCAACGTAGCCCTTGAGGCGCAAGACAAACTCCTGGGCAGGAAGGAGAGAAGCCAACAGTCAGGAGATGCTCCAGCCCCACGCCAGTCCTTGTCCAAGCCCCACACTGGTCCCTGTCAGCCCCACACAGCCACCACCAGCCCTGGGATGGCAGCAGCTCCCACCCCACGCCTGCTCCATCAAGCTCCAGAGCTGCTGCAGGAGCTCACCAGCCCGGCCAGCGCTGTTGCTCCTGCTCTGCCGCAGCTCTGCCCAGGCTCCAGCCGAGACCCGCGCATGGGGAGAGGCGCCCCGGGCC